CATATAAATTATATAATGTCATTATTATTTAAATATGTCTGATTTGAGAAAATTTTTAGAGCAAAATTCAGTAAAGTTTGTTGATTTCCGCTTCACAGACTTAATTGGGAAGGTTCATAGTACTACATATAATGCTGATAGGCTAGATGAAAACAAAATAGATCTAGTGCCAGATTTACAAACAATATTTCTTGATCCGTTTTGTGTGCAACCAACAGCTGTTGTACTATGCATGCATGACTCACGGTCAGTAGCTAAGAAGGCGTATGATTATTTTCTATCAACAAAAATAGCAGATGAAGTTCTATGTGGGTTTGAAATAGGATTTTCTATTTTTGACGAAGTACAATTCAGAGTTAGCCAATACAATTCGCATGTAAGTTTGAGTCCTGTAGAAAATTACTTGAGTGTAAAAAAACATAATCATGGGAGTTTTGATTCCACTTCTGCAATGGATCCATTGTCTGATTTAAGGTCAGAAATATTGCTAATGATGCAGGAAAGCGGTATAGAAAATTCACTATATCATAAAAAAATTTCACCTTTTCAAGGCTTAATAAGAGTTGATAGCAGTAGACTTTTGAATTGTGCTGATAGTGTGCAAAAATCTAAATATGTAATACGTAATGTTGCTCAATCTTATGGCAAAACAGCAACTTTTATGCCTAAGGCAATAGCACAAAACAGCTTGTATTTATATCAATCACTGTTAAAAAACAACGAGGACTTATTGAAGAATCCTGAAAACTATCTGTACTACATGGGTGGAATTATAAAACACATGAAAGCAATTAATGCTTATTCCAATCCAACTACAAATAGCTATAGTAGATTGATTGACCTACCAAATCTTTTTTTACAATCCAAATTATCTTTTCCGGATCCAACGGCAAACCCTTATTTCTGCTTTGCTGCTATACTTATGGCAGGTCTTGATGGCATACAAAATAAAATTAATCTTAATGAAATAGAGAAACAAACCTCAAGGTCTTTAGGTGAAGCACTAGAAATGTTGAGTAATGATAGAGAATTTCTACTTAGAGGAGAAGTATTTACCAACGAACAGATTGACAAATATATAGAAAAAAAGTGTGAAGAGATAAAAAGCATAGAAATGGCTATACATCCTGCAGAGTTTATACATTATTACAATTTCTAGTCTTTTTTTTAACCTGGCTCTCTTTAGTTTTTCAGTTTTGGCTCTTGAAATCTAATTTATAAGTGTTATATAACTTAATAGATTAGTTTGTTGTATGAGGAGAAACAAATGTTAAATGTAAACTTAAGAGTATTAGATGATAGTGTATTAATCAAACCTGTCAGTGAAGAAAAACAAGGTGGTATTGTACTTCCGTCAAGTGCAGAAAAAAAACCAACAAAAGGTGATGTTATAGTGGTTGGTGAAGGTTCACGTAATGCAAACGGTGAACGTACAGCCCTTACTGTTAAAGTCGGTGATAAAGTATTTTATCGTCAATGGGCTGGCACAGAAATAGAACATGATGGTGAAAAGCTTATTGTTATGAAGGAATCTGACATAATTGCTATCATCAAATAATTTTTTAAGCACAAAG